TTATCTTCTGGATTTCTGTTTCGAAAGTATATGAAGAAGGAATGAAGCTTTTCATCTCTACTAACATTGAAGTTGGGTTCATGACTAAAGAGTTTGGTGAAGTTGTTGCTAACATGTTCTTACAATAAAAATAAAAAATATTTTTTTAAAAAAACTAACTTTATTTTTTTATGTTTTTTGTGAAAGTGTCAAAACTCATGAATTTCGAGAGTTTTCTACGATGTTAGAAAAGAGGTTAGAAAACGTGTTAGATCTAACATGCTAACATAAAATATATTTTTTGGTCGTTTACACTCATTACGAAGAAGTCTTGACAAAACATTTACGAAGAAGTCTTGACAAAACATTTACGAAGAAGTCTTGACAAAACATTTACGAAGAAGTCTTGACAAAACATTTACGAAGAAGTCTTGACATTTTCCCGACTGTTGTCAAAATGTCATGTTGTCACCATTTTCAAAAAGATGTTAGTTGACCGAGGGACCGAGGGACCGAGGGACCCTCAGTAAACATCTCATTTTAACTCACTTTTTTCTATCTTAAGGAAATTCATGAAAATTCAAGAGGTGAAAAAAGAGGTGAGAAAAGAGGTGAGATCTAACCTCTTCACCTAAAATATATTTTTGGTTCATTTACATCTAATGAAAAAGTTTAGAAGAATTTTCTTATTCTTTCTGGCATATTTTTGTCTTTCCAGTACTCCCGCTCTAATGGTCCCAGATGTGTTGGCTTCGACTCTCTCAAGTTCTTAGATGGTATAACATCTTCAACGCCTCCTTCATATCTTACTTTATAAGTGTCATCGTTTATGTTATAGCCAAGTATTTCAATAACCACTCCTCGCTTTGCTTCGTCAATGGTTTCAGCAAGTTTGCCATTACTACTTTCAACTAATTTATGACAAGGGTAAAATGCTATGGAGTCGTCAGCAGCTTTTATAAGATATCCATTACCTTGTGTAGAGTCTACGATATAATAGTTTCTACTTAACCTTAAACGTTTCTTTGTCAACGGTTTGTCGTCAAGAACTACACGAACTTTTGTACCAGGAATGAGGGTAAATTGTGTTGAATTTATGATATTTTGTGTTTGGCTTCGTTTCTTTTGTATATACTTTTCTTCTTGTTGTTGTGTCATTGAATTTGGTGTATGTCCTGTTGTAAAATGTGTTGAGGAATTATATACTTCGAGAAAATGTTTCATTGTTTCTTCGGTAAAGTTCGCTCTTGGTTTAAATCTCTGAGAGTCCTTATGAAGCGGTTTATGATGCCGAGTATGTTATGGTTATGGTCTTCAGTAGTGTAGTGAGTTATGTTATGCTTAATGAGAAATTCTGTGATTTCATTACTGAGGTATGCACTGTCTTGGTCTGATGTTAAAGTACTTGGGCTATGTTCTGCTACAAACTTTTGTAAAACTCTTAACACTTCACGAGTTCCTTTGTTCCTCATTGGATATGCATATGCTTTACGAGTGTTAACATTTATGAAGATGAGGAATGGTTTATGTCCTCCTTTTCTGCTTTGAATGAGAGTGTCAAATTGGTATGCGTCAGGAGTGTTGGAGTAAATTGGTAAAAAGTAGTCGTAAGGGTTTATTTTTGTTTGATGTACAACATTTTTGTCAAAGAACCTTTTCACTTCAGCTCTGTTAGTAAATCCCCAACTCTTTGCAGCTTCATTGAACTTCTTAAATGACCTCCATGGATGTTGTTCGAATACTTCTTTCAAGCTCATTTATGTAAAGTTAAAGATTTTATTCTAGGCTCAAGCGCGTTCATTGAACGCGGTACCATGCGAATATAGTCACAAATGGTGGCATATAATCTTCACCCGAGCCTGTTGGATTTGTTGTGAAAGTGTGTGAATGATTTCCTCCTGGTTCAGTTTGTCGAAAAGTCTTTTTTGCTGAATGGTTATAATCTGGAGATAAAACGTCATTGCCAGCTTCATACTCTGAGTTGTATAATGGATGGTCTCTTAATGAGTGACTATGGTCACCAGAAAAGTTTGTCGTTCCTGTATGAGTGTGCGGTGGAAGGTTTGCTTCTAATTTTCTTCGAACCTCCTGTTTGCTTTGAAGAGTTCGCACAGTATAAGAATTTATCTACAATCTGCTCCCACGTACCGAAACCCAGAACTGTTGCTGGATTTATTGAGTTCATTGACGTATAAATAGAGCCTAGGATATAATGTTTGAAGTATTTCAGTCTTTAATGTTTGAAGCTCTGTTTTGTCAGCCTTCTTGTCATATAAATCTTGAGCAGTGAATTTAATATTATGTTCATCCTTCATGACATAAACATCTTTACATCTAATGTTTCTCATCGTCGTTATGTCGTCATCCGATGTTAAACCTTGTGGAAAGTTAGGAGGTTTACAATATAATGCATCCCCACCAGTTTCTTCAACCGTTCCTTCAATACTTTCTATAGCAACAGTTGTAAAACTTGTATGTGTATGGTTCTTGTCAGCTTTACTGTCTAACATTGCTGGTAGTTCATGGGTTTCAAAGTTTCTGGCATGACCTTCAATGTTCATACATTTACTATTTAAGGAGTTTAGTGTATCTTTTACGCTTGTACTTGGATTTCTAATGGTGCACTTGAACCAAGGGTATAGTTCAATATTATGTCGTCTGCTCTAACAGTAGTGAAGGATTTATGTGTATGGTTCTTGTCGGCTTTACTGTCTAATGTAGCTTGAAGTTCATTTATATCGGAGATGTTGTGTTTATGAGATTTCAAAACTTTGTTCATTGCTTCGAGTTCAACTTTGTCAGCTTTACTTTTAATAGCATCTTCAAACGTTATTTTTGACTTAACTCTCAAAGTAAATCTTGGTTCAACTAATACACCTTTAACAGAGAAAGTAGAGGCATAAATTTCATCGTTATAACTAAATGCTTCTGGTGCTTTACCCGTGTCATACTGTACAGTACAGCTTATGTCATAACCTTTAGCACGAATGTATTTATATCTTCTTTCATTGGGGTCTTCCGTCTTCACTTCTTCAGTTCGTGTTAAATATCCATGGTAGTCCGTTATAATCTGTTCGTCTGAAGTTATATAATGAACGTGGTTTTTCTGCTTTTTCGGCTAATTTCTCTTCTATCTCATTTATTTCAAGTTCATGCCTACCACCACCTCCCGAAGAAGTATTTTTCTTCAGCTCTTGAAGAACGTCCACTTCGCCATCTTTGGTGTCAATAATGAGACTTTGAGTTAAAACCTTTCCTGTCTTAATGGATGTTTGTAAAACTTCTTCTTCACCGTGTTCGGGGTCATGGTCGTCATCATATCTTGTGAAATCAGAGATGTTGTCATACATTAAGCATATCTGTCTCAAAAGTTCTGCTATTTGAAACTGGAACGAAAGATATACAGAACTTTCATCATCTCCTAAAGTCAAGTCTGCTTTCTTAAGTATTTCTTGAATGTATGCAATGAGAACAGAGTACCTTGGAAAATATTCGAACAATATTTCATTAGCTGTTGGTTTTGGTGGTTCCTCTGGAGTTTCTGTTGTTTCAGTTCCTTCTGTAGGTTCTGTTGGAGTTTCTGCATCTCTTGACTTCAATGCTCTTGCTCTCAAAGACCTAAATGTTAGAGCACCGGGTTTTACAAAGGACTTTATAAATGCTTTAATAGTTCCTGGTAAGTTATTGTTAGCATTAAGTAAGTTCCTTATGCTTCCATCATGTACGTCCATAGCACTATGTAAAAAATCTATACTTTTCTTGTAGTCAGCAATAGACTGACTGTGATTTTTTAAAGATTTGTCAATACCTTTAAGCCAATCTTCATGCATGTCTGATACTGAGCCAAGAATATCATTTGCTTCCTTTAGTGTATTTTGTGCTTTTCGTAAAGTATCCAATCCCGTACGTGCATTGTTTGCTATACGTCTTACAGTATCTATTTGACTCCTTGTTTCTTGCATCCAACCAGATAAAGTTTTAATAGTATCCGAACCATTTGAAATGAAGTTCAAAGCATTTTTAACGTCATCTAAAGCTTCTTCACCAAGTACTGCCCATATCTTTCCGATTTGGTATTGAAGAACTCCATATGAAGCAGCTGTTAAACCAGTATTTATAAGGTCCCATATCCATGATTTAGCAGTTTTTCCATCCTTTCCATCCTTTCCATCCAAACCGTTTTCGCCTTGAGGTCCTTGTATTCCTTGTATTCCTTGTGGTCCTTGTGGTCCGGTGTCACCCTTCTCTCCTTTCAGTTCATCTTTATGTTCGTTATAATATTCTAATGTCATAAGGTGTACATCATTACTGCTACCAGCAACGCCAAGAATTTGTTTCTCATTCATGACTAAATTCTTTAGGCATTTAATGTTGTCGTCAAATCGAAAGCTCTTTAACAATTCAATGAGAACATTCAGTACTTTCACTAATGAGGCATCTACTGTAGAATTTATATATTGCACCGTTCCATCATTTATGATAGGAACTTTACTTATTGTAATGAATGGGTCATAAGTGTTAAAAGTATCGAAATCAATGACTTTTTTAGTTTTTCCATCGTCAATGACTAAATCATTGCCTTCAATGGTTAAAGTTGAGTTTTCGTTTACTAGTTCATGTGCTCTTCTTGCTTCATTTGTTTCATACGCATATGCAGCAATAGTCATATTTTAATGAGAATAAAATGTTGTTCTATTTGCAAAGTACAGACCCAAACGAATACGGGACAGTAAAGCTACAAACAAACTTAGGTCTTCAGAATGAAGCACTTGCTTTCAGAGTTGTTGACTTCAATACTATCGCTTTTCGTTATAACAGATGAAACAGATTTCATAGAGATTGAAATAGATGACAAAAGAAGTTTTATAACATTTCCTAACAGAGCAGAGTATAGAATAGATAAAATTGCTGGAGTCATAGATACTCTCATAAATGAAGAAACTATTGACAACATAGATGTCGAACTCTCTTCTGAGGGAACATTGAAGTTCAGTAGCAAGAAAGAGTTCAAGATAACACGAATGAGTCATAGAGTACAACTTCTTTTGGGAGCATACCATATGACATTTCCTTTGAAAAGTGTTGACAAAACGATTGAGATGAAATCTGTTCCATACGTATGTTATGGTAATTGTTTGTACATTGAGTCTAAAATAGCTAATGTCACAGGCATTTCAGGAGTTAATAGTAAAGGTTCAGTAGAATATAAATCCTTCTGTTATGCAGTCAATTCAATGTTCATTCCAAACGTTCCTGTCATAGCAACTCATTTAGGTAAATGGGTTCGCATTAGTCCTCATAATTTGAAAGACATGCAATTCAGACTAGTTGACTTTCAGGGCGAGCCTGTAGAACTGAAGGCACCAGTGCGAATGACTGTTGAAGTTGACTTTTTAGAAAATATTAAATGCAACAGCTTACAAGAGAACTCAGAGCTAAAAATATAAAGTATGAATGTTATGTATTAGGTCATGAACTTTGGTTGTTGCTGTTTGATGAAACAAATGAGTTAGTTATGTCAGTCAAGAGAACAGAAAAATATTGTGTTAGTGAAAACTGCACCAAGTCAATAAGATTAGGTTTGCATTATGAAGATGAGTTCGATACTGTTGAAGAAGTTTTGGATAGATATTACAAATTGCTTTAATTTACTAAAACATATTTCAAGCAAAGTTTATATTCTGTTGAAAGTTTTGTATACTCGTTCGAATATTTATACTTAAACTCAACTCCTGTAGTTCCTGGTGTTTCAATGATGCGGATGTTACCTATTTTCATGAATGGTGGCGTTTGACCACAGCATTCGATTTCAGGGTCGAGATAGTCAATGACACATTGTTTCCCTGTTATTCGTGAGATAACATTTTCAAGGTCCTCCTTTGTTAGAATTATTTGGTTCTTACTTATAAGATTTGTCAAAAGCTTCTTATCGTCTTTGAGTAAAATTGTTTGGTATAACTGAAGAAGGTAATGGTCTACGTTATCTGAAGGATTTGTTTGAACATTTGTGTAAGGGTTGTCGTTGGCTTCTCTTGAAAGAATTTGGTCCAGTGGTGGATACTCTAACTTAACATCTGATGTAGCGTTAGCGTTTGAAGCTGTGTTTAAATTCACGGATTTCAGCTCTGGTTCTGGCTCTTTCAAACACTCCGAACTATAGTTCTTTATGACAATATTGTTTGTCGTTCGTGAGTCAACATTTGATGTTGGTTCAATTGGAACATTAACGGCACCAGCTAAGATGGATTTGCTTCTCATTTCATATAGAATAAAAACCTTTTATATGTATGAAATGAACAATATACTCGACAAGGGTTTGAATGTAAAGCTAACGAATGAAAATATTGTTGAATTCACCGAGACAGGTGTGTGTATAAAGATGTAGAACTACTGAACAAAAGAGCAAAGGGAAGAAGCAGGAATATGAACAAAGGGTGGAAACCTATAAAAATTTATGTCAATGATGGCTCAGGAGGTTCAAACATAAAGTATGCAGAAAGTTATAGAGTTTATGCTCTCAAAGGTGAAAAGCCTTCATTTAAGAACAGCTATTCTAACGCATATCCTCAAAAGCTAACGGATGGGAAGTGGATGATATGAATGACAGCAAAAATATTAACAGAAATGGCGACAGAGATGCATGGAATTTGTTTACCATCAGTCAATTGAAGGTTAAACTTTAAAACAATGTTGGTCGTTCCCATGGAATATTTTTGACTTTAATGGTATTAGTCATGATATGAATCTCAAGGTATGAACGAGGAGAGATGAGAGACTTATATGCTTCCCAAATTTCTTCAAAAGGTAATGTTATACCTGACTGTTTCCAAATGAGTTCAATATCATAACGTGAGAAACCTTGAAAGATAACGAAGTCAGTTATGAGACGTTTTATGTTTAAAGCAAGAAACGCCATGTTTGCATAAGTATTGCTACAGTTAAATGGTAATGTCTGACTTTAGTTATGATGTTAGCTAATGGTGAGTCAGGCTTTGACACTAAACCTTTTCCGGCGAAGTCGTCACAAACGAGCAGAGTGTTTGAAGGATATTTTTGAAGGGGTATTTTGAAAGTTTTGACAGAATGTAGTTTGTAAGTCGTTTCATATCGTAAACTCCTGAGTACTGACGTAAGTGGTGTTTGTCAATAATTCTTTCCATCTCCTCAGAAGTCTTTTGCATTCCTGACTGTATGAACTCTAACGATGGCATAATATTTCTCTTACGTCGAATGTAACGTTGAAGAAATTCAATGAGTTCACTGTCTGGAACTTTAACGACAGATGCTTGAACTTTACTCATGAATGTTTTCGCTGTTGAGTCCATAGAGTCTGAAGTTGCTGATATAATGATTTGGTCATAGTAAGAGTCGTTTCCTAAACGCTCTGTTATGAGTATATGACGAATGAGGTTAAATGTCTTACCTGAACCCATCTTTCCACAATAGAAATACACACCATTTGAACAGAACTCATAATCTTTGCTGAAAGGAAGAATAGAGAAGAGTTAAGTTTGTCTGTAGTTTCATTCATGTCTTCATCTACGTCATGTATTAAATGCTTCATTTTATCTCCATTAAAAATGCAAGTCAGAAATATTCAGAACATAGCACCGAGTCTAACTGACAAGAGTATAAAGATATACTATGAACATGTTATGATGAAACCAACCAAAATTCAAGAAAGTCAGTATACTTATGAATATCCAAGACACTGGGTAGAGTATGTAGGAGGTGAGAAAGCTATTGAAATCAGACAGGTTCGAAGTATTCCAGCAGGAAGAACAATATTATTGAAGAACTTTAATGTTTTGAGATATAATGATGAAACAAAGAAGCAAGATAGTTTTCCTGTTGCTGTGTATGTGAACTTAGATACAGGAGATGACATGAAAGTTTTTAACACAAAGCTTCAAACGGTAGTGAGAGAACAACTTACTGCGGAAGGACATCCATTACCTTCAGAAGTTACCATAGCATATAATTTTGAAACAAATCAATAGATTTTAAAGTCGTCTCTGCAAAGAAGTCAGGTTTTACATTTAATGAAGCAGATGTATATTCGAATGAAAACTTCAAAGCTATTGCATGGTTAGATAATGACGATTGCTTTAAGAAAATATTTAAATACAGTGACTCAACGATGTCAATAGATGACCTTCGTGGAATGTTACCATCGACGTTTACAGTAGAAGGTTCAGCAGGATTGCTTACAAGATTGTCAATTGGTGGTATTTGGTCTCGTGAGAACATTGTTATAAAATCCAGTATAAGTGAATTTGCTGAAGAATCTATATTATGTCTTTCAAACTACATGTATTCGCCGCCGAAGCATTATAGTATAACAAACTTTGTCAGTAAGTTTAACATAAGACTTGTCGAACCTTCTTCAATGAAAGATGTTGTGCTACCTAAAGACGGAAAGGATGGACTCATTATTGAGATGATTTTAATAGCATATTAAATGAGCTTGTTCTTAAGGTCGTTCATGATGAAATAACTGTTGTAGAAGATGTTAGCAATTGTTCAGACATTTTGAAGCGTATAGATGATATAAGAAAGAAGTTAATAGACCGCAAAGCGGTGAGGGCGAAGCACGTGAGAATGTTTATGTTTCATTGACTTTCTCCAGTAACGAGAACTTTTATGAGATAATATTGAAGAGAGATGATTTTAATATGGGGTAAATGGTAGCTTGGGCAGCTTTAGGCGCAATGGGAACAAAAGCATTAGCATTTGGAGCAAAAGCACTTGGAGCTTATGACGCAGTAAATAAAATGAGTGGAGGAAGGGTTTCGAAGACATTAGATGCAAATAAAGGAAAGATTGGAGGCTGGGTTGCAAAGAAGTTAAGATTAAATAAAATAGGGCTCATAAATAAAGCATCCAATTTGGTTGCGACTGAGTCAGAAAATGCTTTAGGAAAGGACGATGAGTTTGCAAAACACGCAAAAGACTTTAATGACCAGATGAAAGGTGAAACAATGCATTTAAATAGAGTCGATGGAACTAAAGAAAATGTTTCTTCTCCACCAGTAGTTCTTCCGTATGGTCCCTATGGAATGTATGGAAACCCTTACGAAAGACCATTTGACCCATTGACTGGTGGAAGTAACTGGTATCATTACGGACGAAGAAGAAAGACAGTCAAGTTGGAGACAGACGTGAAGAAAGCAACTAAAAAGAAACCAAGGAAGAGAGTTATAAAGCAATGAATTCAACAGGGTGAAAGAGGTGAAAAGGTGAGATCTAACTTCACCTAAATTTATTTTTGGTATGTTTTCATACGTGTGAGGGTGGTGATATCATTTATTTTTTATTTTATTTTTATATAAATGACGAAAACTATTGAGATAACAAACTACAACGGTCATGAGTTCAAGAATTTGTTCTTCGTTCCTCGTGAAAATACATTCTATCAGATACGAGGGAGAAAGGGTAAAGTTAGTTTGAGCGTTTATGAAGGAATGAAGAATGGAAAGTTTATACAAGCATACGATACAAACGGTAAACGTGTTTCATTAGCTTTGTCAAAACTTACTAACATTTATTTTGACAGTGACTTTGACTCTGACGATTGGAGTGACAGCAGCGATACTGAAGAATATGAACTATTGTGTGAAGCACAGCAATGGGAAGAGTTGCAATACTTTTGTAAATGAGAACGTTAGTGTGAACGTTTGTGAGAACGTTTATTTTTTCATTAGTGAGGTGAAGTGGTTGGCGGCTTTGTAAATATTTAAGATTAAATTAGTGTTGTCGTTTGTGTTGTAAAATATACGTTAACGGTTTCATAAAGTGTCAAAACAGCTAAGTGGTGTATGGAGGCGCGCAGTGCCACAGTACACGACTTAGGTATACTAACTCACTTTTCCTGTTTAAAGTTAGTTGTAAGTTTGTAATATTTGCAATGGTATGTGTATGTCCAACGTCACTTTTCCTGTTTAAAGTTAGTTGTAAGTTTGTAATATCAGATATAGAATGTGTATGTCCAACGGCACTTTTACTGTTTAAGGTTTCTTGTAAGTTTGTAATATTTACAATGGTATGTGTATGAGTCTTATCTGCTTTTGTCTCTAATGTTTCCTTAAGACTTGGTATTTGGTTAATATAATGTATATGAGTCTTTTTAGAATATTCGTTTTCAGCTCTTGTCACTTCACTTGACATTTTATTGTCAACATATGTTTTGTCTGCTAGTTCAGGATGAGTATGTTCTTTTGTTGCATAAGCATTGTTAGCTCTTTCTTCTTCTTTTGCTATTGCATCGTCTACATATGTTTTGTCTGCTTTGTTGTCAACATCTGCTTTCAAAAGAAGTTCAGATATAGGTTTCTCGTTTAAAGTTCCTTTTGTTGGATTTATACAAACAGTATGGTTCTTATTGTCTTGAAACAGAAACTCATCTGTCATTGGGTTTAATGTCAGTTTTAAGTTTCCTTCTTTCAATGACTCAGATATCTTAGAATAGTTTGAAAAGTTTGTTGTGTTCTTATTTAGAGCTTGTATAATGAGTTGTCGGTTGTGTTGTATTTCTCTCATAGACGCTGTTTCATTTGACATTTTTATTCTAGATAAAATATGCTTTCAATAGAAAAAGAAAATTCAAGAGTTGCTACAACTAAACCATTAGATGAACTTTTTACGAATGTCGGTCAAAAGTTTGAGACAGAGACCGTAAAGCATGAAGGCTATCGTTTTGACTACCCGTTAAGATGGTTAAGAGACCCATCTGTCACAAAAGCTATTGGCTTTCGTAGAATGAAGTTCATTTCAGAAGCCATACATGGTTTCCCATTTACAGTCGGTTTTGTAGTTCGATACTATAACAAAGAAAAACGTACGTATGAGAAATTTGAAAGGGAAAACTTTTACAAGTGAATTTGCTTGTAAACTTAGAAACAACTCTTCAAGCTTTTCAAGAAAAAATAAACGACATCTATATCGAATATGCAAACCAGTATAACATTGACGAGGGAGAGTACCATCTCGATATTATATATGACAGGAAAAATGCAACTGTTAAAATCAATAGAATAGAAGACCTTGGAGAAAACGTTTATATTTCTACAAAATATAACAACTTGGCATGGTATAGATTTATGAGGATGTTAAATCAGCCTGCAGCATATCCAGTACACCCAGACTTTTATGAAGTCGAAAACCCTAATGGAACATATGAAAATATTTTCGACCCAGATGCTATTATTGTTCATGCTTCATTTTCTGGCGCCCAAAACTCTTTCTTATGCTTGGCAAATGACTTTTACGAAAAACCTACAAAGTTATACGAACCACCAAGTGGAAGTATTTCAGACTTTCAAGTATGGTTTACTACAGATGGAAGAAAAAGAATAATTCCATTATACCATGCGTTTTACTTAGAACTTAGTTTCATATACAACTACTATCGAACGGTAAAAATATAATTTTTTAATACGGTTGAGGTGTTGGATTTGGTTGCCAACTAGACTGTGGTGCAGGTTCAGGCTGTTGTATAACAGGAGCTTGTTCTTCTGGTTCAGGGTCTTTAGGTATAATACCAACAAACTGACCTACTCTTTTACCAATATTTTTGACTCCGTTCCAAATTCCTTTTCCTACGGTTTTGACGCCATTCCATATACCTCTTCCAACATTTCGAAAGAAGTTTCCTATCTTACTGAAGAAACCCATTTACTACGTGTAAAAATCTAATGTCCGCCTAGTCTCTTACGTTTCCTGTTGAGTTCCATAGCATTCTTTAACTGGAGCTCATACATTCTGTTTCTCCTCTGGTAGAAAACATATTCTGGGTCAACTCCTGTGTTAGTGTCATCTGCATAAAGTTGTTTATATCCCACTTCAGGGTTTGTATAAAACTCTTTCCATCTCATATTTGCATACCATGGTGGCAAACCTAACGCAGCGCCATTTGACATAGCAGTTTGCATTTGTACATCTGTTGGCACTTGACCATAGTTTGCTATTGCAGTTTGTATTCTAACTTCATTTGGAATATTCTCTGGGTTTGGTTGTCCAGGTTGCTGTGCATTCGCTAAGTTCTGTGCGTCCATTTAATATTAGATAAAAATATCTCTTACGAGTACATATGCTGAACATTTGCAGGCATTGGTTCATCTTCATATTCTCTGTACTTTTCTGCCACGTCAAATAAATAAATGACACAATGGAAAAAACCTAAAACAGTAGTCCTTTTCAAACACACATTTACTTACTAATAAAATTTCTTTATTGTGACACTTTCTCCAGTTTTATAGACCTCTCTCATATTCTATCTTGTCATATATAAACTCATAGTCATGTATGTCCTCTAACCATCTCATAACGGTTTCCAAACCACTTTTATCGGATGTAAAGTAAAAGCATGGATGGTTATGTAAAACGTCTAAAGTTTCTAAAGAGTCTCTCAAAGTCCAGTCTACTTGGTATTGAAAATCCCATGTGTTATAGAACGGCGGGTCCACTATAAAGAAAACATTTTCCTTGTCTTTATATTTTTCATACAACTCTGTCCAATGACATCTCACAAACTCTATACCCTCAATATATTTTTCTATGTCCTCTTTGAAAACATTTGTATAGTTAAGATATAAAACTTTTGACATAAGTGTTTCAATGTCATGAACTCTTATAGCACCACTATATAATAGTCTAGCAGATATACTATCCCAGTCTATATATTCTGCTTTTTTCAAAACCTCTCTCACAATATTTTTCTTATCTAATGGTATACGTTCCATCTTACCTATAGGTATCTTTTCTTTTAACTCTTTCAATATATTGTTTGTGTCTGGAATATGTTTGAGACGGTTCATATAGTTGTCGAAGTCATTGCATATAATCTTTGAGTCTGGGAATATTGTATGACATAAATGGGATATATAGAAACTTCCACCGAACAAATCTACAAATGTTAGACCATTCGGTAGTTTCTTAAGTTCTCTCAATATAATATCTTTACATCTACTCTTATTTCCAAAGAACGGTAACGGTGGTTTTGTAAAATTCATTTATATATAATAATAAATTTTTTACCCGAAAAGTGACAGAAAAGTGACAAAACATGAAAACATATATAATTTGTGAAAAGTGGAACAAAAAGTGACATTTAAAAAGTGACACCATTAATATGATGTAAATAACAACGGTTTTGGTTTTGTCACCGGCTGGTCGGCTGGGGTTCGGTCCTCCTCTTGGGTCTTGGACAAAATTTCTTATGGGCTAGAGGGCGCAACGCGCCTGGAAGCCCCACTACCTTTTTTTTACACTGTATTTTTTGAACTTCATGACATGAATTTTCTTTATATTATTTTTTTTGGATTTTCTATGATTTATGCGATAGGCTGGAACAACATTGTAAGTGCAATGATATCATTTATAGAGAAATCTAAAACTTCAGCATTCAGAACTCGCAACCACAAAAATATTCATTTGCTAAGTAAGTAAAGTTGATTAAGTTCGACACTTAGCTTTTATACGTAAAACCAAGTGTGTATTGTTATTTCTTGTTAAATTATTGAGAAAAAAATAAATTGTAAGAGAAACGATACTGATTATTGAAATAATATTGAGGGTAGCTGCAGATTTCTTCATTAACATGCCGGAAATTTGTTAATCTTGGTTTTCTATCATAAAATCTGTCGAAGAATCTAAAAACGGAGATATGAAATAGATATCATGTAAATCTAGAGTATCCTGTCAGAAAAATAGACTAAGCATGTAACCCTTTTTTGGTCATAAACACTTTTTACCACTTAGTCATACAGATGATCATTAAATTTAAACGAGCACTTTTTGTCAGAATTTATTCTTTTACAAAGACAGAAGATTTTAGTATTATTTAATATTAGTGCTGTAGCAAAATTCAAAAAACGGTGAAAATTCAGTGAATTTGTGAATTCACATTTTTTTTCGACATTTTTCTTGATATATCCATGCACATTAAGAACACAGCTTTGATACGCTTAAAAAAGCATATTTCATATGAAATTGTTAAAGAAATAAACAATTTTATAGAAAAATTGCACTTATGGGCAGTTTAGATATATAATTTATATATAATATATATACAAATCCATAGAACAAAGTGCAATAACTACAATGTTGTAGAAAATTACAGCAGAAATACTGACTTTTTGAAGGATAATAAGAATTCTTCTAAAATACTGAAAATTAACATATTTCTGTACTCAATTTAGTATATGCACAGAAGTTATGATTTGGTGTTAGGTTTTTATGCCCCAAAATCTAGATTTTTGTGACATCAAATCTTATTAGTGGATAAATCAAAGACTGTCATTTTGAAATAAGCTCATATCAATAAATATCCATTTAAAGCCTTATTGTAATATGTAACTAGCAAAAAGCCTAATATTTATCAAAATTAATCAAATCAAATGATCAATATTCATGATATGTCATCAGCAATAGCTAATTATATTTTATTTTGTATTGATATTTTTTCTCATATTATACACGATTATATCTCTTTTTTTTAAAAAAAAAGTTTTATATTAGACATGAAAGTTGAATTAATACAATTTTGTACTAGAGTTTGTTTGTATATTAAATAATAATGATATAGACTTCAACATATTGCGTCTCACCATTACCACAAATGTAATTTTGCATACAATTTTTTTCATTTAACAATGATGTTATTTGAAAAGTGATACTTCCATGATTATTGATTAATGTTCCATCATATATAGGAATGAATGTTAAACAAGACACGCCTGCAGCTGGGTGCATTCGTGGCATTGTGATAAGGCTTATATATAAAGACTTCTCTCGATCAGCATTACGTCAAATGAATATTGACCCATTATTTTGGCGATGCGCTAGTTCCAAGTAGAAATGCTTTGGTATATTTAGGTTATGTCTATATGTTATGAATCATGGTATTATTGATAAAAACGTTCTTAGTCATTAAATCAATCCTAGTATCTAAAGATATAATTTAGATTTTTTTGTTTATTGCTAAAATTAAATACAGTATAACTTTCTTTCATATTGTCGGTACTAACAATACAAGATTGTGTTGAAAAAAACTTAAATATGCATGAAAATTAAATTTAATGTGTAAATATGATAAAAATTTCAACTTTACTAATAACATACATAAGTTTCTGATAGTTTAATATAGTTCATATTGATGTGACTGTAAACTATATCAAAAAAATATTTTTAAATATTGTTATGCAAATAATGGGATTTCTAAGGAAAAAATGATTATATTTGTTATATAAAGCAATCTTTTTAATTATTCACTACGTTTATTACATTTTTTGCCGACCATTTACGTAATATGCCTCCACCAAGCAGACGCAAACAACAAAGTCGTGAAGCTAACGAAAAATCAATTGAAGCAAGAAAAAACTCCCAAGAAAAGAATGCGCCAAAGGAAGTCGATCCAAAACACTGGACTGCTTCTGTAATTGTTAATGGTGACTCTTATACTCGAGCAAGGAATTTATTTCAAGATAACAATATTAAAGTGCCGAGTGAAAAAGAGTTTTACCGTCATCAAAAAGAAATAGGTAAGGTAATACTAGAATATAAAGAGCAATCTATTAAAAATGCTCAACAAACAATGAAGAAAGATACATTTTTAAGCACTGATTCGCATTATAATGTTGGCAGAAATGCTACAGCGTGCCAAAGTTTAATGATGGACAACCGTGGAAAGGTTGTTGGTGAAACAACTGTTATAAAAAAGAGCTCTGGAGGAGACTTTGAAGGCCCATCAAACATGATGGAAACAGAATGTACAAAGAGGATGATGTCAAATTTTGACTTTACAAATGTTTCCACAGTGGTTCATGACAATGACAATAAAACGAAAGCCATCATCCAGCAATATGCTCCGAATGCTAAAATTACACTTGATCCTCGTCATTGTGTACGTGCAGTTGGCAGAGCTTTCGAAAAGCTTGAAAATGGTGGATATAAAGAAGCAGCAGGAAAAGAAACTGTTAATCAACAGAAAGAAAGTGAATCACAGCCAGCATTCCCAATCAAATCTAAAGCAGAAGAGCCGAAGAAACGTGGAAGACCATTAAAACACCAAGAAAAAGTATTTCATCAGATATATTCGAAAGTTATTAAGTGGTTCACTTTTATTATCATGCTTCCAATTGAAACAACGAAAAAATTTTCCTATGGAAGAATACATTAAATCATTTTATCGGAAGGCATGAAAATTGCCTTCACGAAAAAGACAAAGAATATCCTGTGTTTCAGCCACTTACAAAACCTGATTTAGCGAAGCAATTTCAACGTTTTACAGATGATGCCGCAAAGTTGATTCCAGTAGAGATGCGAGTTTCCGAATTTTTTTAGCCCTGGGATGTCATAACCGCTGCGGTTTTGTAAAATTTGGGATAAATTTTGACAATCCATTTTTTGTGGGATGTACGTTTATATCAATTTGCTCGGCGTTTGCCGAGCTATTGTACAATCCTACTCGAATTCATTACGCAGCCCTGGTCACTCAAAGACCAGGGCATACAATTACAAAATAGTAGAGTGAGACTCTTCTAATTTCTTCCAATCACAAGGAAGATCTTAGAAGAGCCTCACTCTACTCGAACACATTACGCAGCCCTGGTCACTTAAAGGCCAGGGCATACAATTACAAAATAGTAGAGTGAGACTCTTCTAATTTCTTCCAATCACAAGGAAGATCTTAGAAGAGCCTCACTCTACTCGAACACATTACGCAGCTCCTGCTCAACAATGAGCAGGTCTTACCACTTTGAGAGGCTTTCGTTCGAGTTCTGATGCAGATCCCAACGCGAGCGAGAGTCTCTCAAGCAAGCTTCTAATTCGTAGCTAGAGTTTCACTCTTATGAACTGGCAGCCAATTTGAGAGAATTTCGCTCGAGATCTAATGAAAAATCAGAACTCGGCCAAAAATTGCCCAAACAGGCTTGTAATTCGTAGCTATAGTATTGATCGTATGGATGTGTTGCCAATATTAGAGACTTTCGCTCGATGTCTGATATTGCATCAGACATCGAGCGAAAGTCACTCAAAACAGCTTAGACATGTCTATTTTGACGGCATTAAATGATTTCATAGGAAATGTCTCAGTTGTTAATTAAGTTCACGTGAGCTTTTATGAATGAAAATAAGTAAAAAAAAAGAATTTTCTCAAAAAAATTGTGTACGCATTGAAATTTTTATCTATAAATTTAGATATGTCATCAATAATATAATATAATTTTAAATTCGTGGAGTACACTTGGGATAATTGAATATGGGCTACCCCATCCCAACCTCTCAAACTTCCTCTGAATTTGGACAAGGTATCCCAATCCCAAAGACCTATCTGAATAAAATGAAATAAGTATATTATATATATTATTTATTTGCTAATAATGAGCATAAATCGCTAAAATTATGAAGAAATTAAAAATTAAAAATTAAAATTAGAAAAAAATGTTGATTTAATGAGAGAATATTGTATAAAAATAGAATTATTAGCTAAAATACGTATTAATTTTATGATATTTCAATCACATTAACGAAAATCGCCCATTTTTAATTCAAATGGGCGGGAAAAAAAATAAAATTCCAAAAAAAAATTGAATTGGGGAAACGATAGGGGACGGGATATGAGAAACCCCATATGTTTGGGAATTTTTCGCATCACTAATTCCAGAAATTGATCCTAATGCTCAAACACAACAAAATGAATCGATACATCACTCAATGCTTACTCAGTGTCCCAAAGGAAACAACGCAAAATCGTTTGAAATGCGTACGGCTGTTACAATTTTACAAAAAAACGAAGGAGAGAAATGCAAACAAGAAATATACAATCGTGTCAATAATTACCAAATATCTCCTTCAATCCGCGAACTCCAAAAACTTGAATATGAGAAAAATAAATCCAGAAATCAAAAGAAAGCTACACCAGAAACAAGAAAAGAGATCAACAAAGCAAGAAATGCAAAAAGATTTCCTAAGGATAACCCTACAGGTGATTACAGAGGAGGAAAGTGGACCCCACAAGATATCTAATTTTCAAATTTGAAATAAACACATATTTTCTTTGTATTTGTTTCATATTAAGTTCTGTCAAAATGTAAGCTATTGAATTTTTTGAGAGGGAAATAATCATCGAGGAAGTAAAAAGTGACGCTTTAGGAAATATTATTAGAAATATGATAATAAATATATTTGGAAAAAATATGTTTTTTTCAAAAATTGAAATGTTCATAGAATATTTTGAAATATGTAGGGAATTGAATTCGGTAATATATGATAAACAGGATTTTTAAATTTCAAGGAAAAATAGCTTTTGTGAATACTTTTGAGAACTCTTCTCAAAGATCATGATTCAAATATATTAAGGAGCCAAAATATTAGAGATGAGTTCACAATCAAAATTTTCTCACTTTTCTTCCAAATTGACATCCTTACTCACCACTTTCAAGTTTTTCATACATATATCTTACCCATTCATTTGGAATACGAGGTCTCGAGTTTTCGTTCATTTTTTTTACTTTACAAAACTGTTTATTTTTCAGAATTTTTAAATTTGAAAAAATCCATTCTATATCTGATAAATAATATATTATTTTTCAATCAAAATATTTTGATTATCATCTCAAAAGTGTTCTCAAAACCTAGTTTTTCTTATTTTGGAGAATCTTAATATTTATATTATTATAAACTAATTGAACACCATATGTTTTTGTATACTTTTACAAAAAAATTGATAGATTTGTGATACTTCCCCCGACGATAGAATTGAATAGCTTACATTTTGACAGAACTTAATATGGAACATATTTGAAAATATTTTTATATTATAAGATTTTTGAACCTATAAGTAGCATGACAAAAATTATATAATTTGCTCCTTTTTTATTTTAGTATACAAATATCCCATTTGTTATATGTTCGGTATATATATGATGATATTGTAATCAATTATGCTTAATGAAGCTTTATCCCGTGAACCCCTCATATTATTGGAAAATAAATAGCGAAAACATGTAGAGCTGCTATGTTCTCAAGTGTATGCTGATTTTTGGATTATTTCATGAAAACTAATGGCGGGATATCTTGCATTATTTAAAAAAATTGAACTATGCAAAAATAAATAGTATTATATTTTTTCTCATGAAATGCTATTATGAGACAACCATAAAAAACCATATGTTGTATTTTTATAATTTGATTGATTTTTTTTACTATTTCATTAATCTTTTATGAATAATAATTATTTTTAATATATGTGCTATTAAAATTTCAAATTTTGACTAATATATCTAAGTTATCTGAACGAAACATTTAGAAAATATCATACTTACATTGAAATAGCAAGTAGAGCATATTAATAGCAAGTTTCTTGGCTTTATATCTATCATCTATTGTTGTTTGATCAAACAAAATTCACTCTATTATATGGTGTCAATTAATTAAAACAATTTTTAATAGTTATTTATTTAGTGCGAATAAGTGCAAACTCATAAATGAATAACTTAATAGTAGAAATGAATTATCTGATATAAATCTCACATTTTGTCCATCAGAAATACTTTAATTGCATACGCATAACTATTAGTAATACGTCTGGAGTGTCAATTAATAACAATCCCACAACAAGTAAAATTCAGATTTTTATTAAACTTATTTTTTCCTAAAAGTTTTCTCAAATTACTATATATACATATGTGGATAAAATAATAGTAATATTGTAAAAAATTAGATAATTTTTTTATTTGAGAACCTCTCAAACGTTCATTCAATTTATCAATTGTTTCAGTTTGATGTATATTCATTTCTGGAGCCTAAAACTTTAGCAATCATGACAATATCATATTCTCTTTCTAACTACGCAATGTAAGGGTATCCTTAAGAAAATAAAATTACCAACAAATTAGCAGTTTTCTTGCACTTTTTGAATTTCAATTTTGAATTGTAATTCAAATGTTGTGCAAGAAAACTACATTCTCTTGCCTTCAATAATACAATTTTCAATTAAAAATTGAAAGTTGTTAATTGAATGCAAGAGAATTATAAAATATGCAAGTCGGATAAATAACTTCTCGCTGAAATCCGAAATTCTTTTTAATTTAAGGGTGCACCTGTATGTACGTTTATTTGAGAGGAGGAGGATTACCCTCTCAATTTTAAGGGATTCGTTAGTTTATTTTCTCGATGAATATGCAATAAAATTTGATTTTTACCTTATCAATATACTTCATATAATATACACATGTTCATGTAAAAACTTTTTTCCAAAATCCTCAGGAATTAAGGGATTTTTGAATTTTAAGAATTTTTTTCGAATTTTTTCGAAAAAAAAATATTTTCAGAACAGCCTTAACGGCTAAGATTTAGGAACAATGTTAAGTATCAAAAAGAAAGGAGGTCTGATATAGACAACATATATCGTTGAAGGTTGAAAAAATCTCTAATATTTGAGCCCAAAATTTCAAATTTTAATTTTTTGAAAAAAGAGGCCACCCGTATGTACGTTTATTTGAGAGGAGGAGGATTATATTTTTGAAAGGGTGAAACATTATGAATATGTTAATTATATAATAATATGTATTATTATAAAAAGAAAAAATAATGCACGTTAAAATTTTTCTTTCTTGATTTTTTACAAAATCTACTTAGAATTATGCAAAATATGACTAAATAATTATAAATTTCAAGTTAAATTTTAATTTTGATAAATAATTTAAATTTCAAAATATCAAGTTCAGTTCGACTATGTATGTAGTAATTCCTCAATAAAGTGCCAAAACCCTATTAAAATATATGAACATTTTCAACATTTTAATGTTTTTATTTAAAAATTTGTTGGAATATGAGCTTCAAACAATTATTATGTAAATAAAAATAATTAAATATATGTATTTATTCGTATTACAACCGTAGTAAGTCGATTCTTCCTTTCTTCTACTGAGGTTTGAATTTGATTTCGAATTGTAAAGAGATTCAAAGGGAAAATACTAGCGGATAAAAACTACCTCCATGAAAGGGTCATAATGGAGTCAACTTGTATTTTTTGATATTTTTTGCTTTTCGAGCCTAAATAGGTAGCCAAGATAATGCCTAAAAATAAGGTTCTAAATTCTGAAGTTTACATGATCCTCTCGTGTGCACCCTTAAAGATTCTCGGCAAACTTACGATAGTCTTTAAATTTTAAAACATGCTTATTCCTTTTCCATTTTGTCAATTCAGATACATCTCAATCAAGTTTGAAATGAATCCAAAAGCTGAATTTATGCTACATGTCTTGTTAAAAAAAATTGCAAATTAAGAAATATTAAATCCGTATTTACAAACAAAAGAATACAAAACGTAATATATTAATAAAATCATATTTCATCTAAAACATTGGAGATGAAATCTCTTATTTCTTGGCTTGCACAAGGGAGATTTTGCAATTTAATGAGTGCATCAATAAAATATTTCTGAGAAAAGTTGTTTGATCCCTCTGCAACAGCTTCTGGTGAAGAATTCTCAGCAATTTCGTCGATCAATTCTTCATCCAAGAAAATTTCAAGGGTTGATGTCAAAGAAATCCTCAAAATACTGTTGCAAATGAAGGAAAGAATTGATTTCTTTGTATAATAGTTCGAAGAATTACTCTTTTCCTTCAAATTTCCCAAAAATTCTGGAGTAAACAGGTGAACTCCGAAATTTTCATCGGATTCGATGAGCTTCTGTACAATAATAAGCATTTGAGCGCATAAGGCATCAGATTTATCTACCATTTCAAGAATATAATCCGCAGATACTTTTTCTGCAATGCAATTCTTGTATTCTGAGCACGAATAGTCAACTATATTGCCTAGTGTAACGATTTGGTCTTCAATGGAAAGATCGTTTGAAGTTTTGAAATTAAAGAGAAAATCTATAGTAACATCAATCAAATTTGTTTGGCAAAGCATCTGTACAGCTTCTTCAAATGCTGTGAACCTTCTGACAATGTTTAAAAGCCTTGATTGAATCGTTTCCATTTCATCTGAAGAATTATTCGCAAAAATGTAGTCTGATCGTCCTAGTAATGATGCTATGATGGGACTGAACATCATTGTAGTATTATTATCGTGAGAATTTACCAAAAATTGTTCGATGTAGAAAAGTGACGCATCTAAAAGTTTTTGATCTCCGATATCGATCCATTTGGAAAGTTTCTCCAAAAAATCGTACTGTTTGATTACTTCAGCGCTTTCTTGGGAATCTGCTGCAATGCAACCTGCAATTCTAATAGAGAGCGAAACGCATTCACTAGAAAAGCCTTCACCTAGCATTGGTTGAAGAAAAGCTTCAAGAAAATTACCTTCTAATATTTGCTCAATGCAAGAACTCGCGGAATAACAAATTGTACATACTAATGTGAGTATATTAGCTGAGAAATCAGAATTATCAGGTGTAATATAATCCTTCAAATGAAATAACAAATTATATGAATAGCAAAATTCTTCTGCATAGTAAGGCATATCATCTGTCTTGTTAAATATATTGTTCAGCTTCTTAATAGCATCTTCTGCTTGCGAAAACTGTTCTTCACTCAAGCTATTGCAAATTTGATGAATCAAATTCTCAATTGTGTTGCTAATTTCTTCAGTTGCAATCTTCTTGTTGAGATCTGCCTGCTTCTTGTTGTAAAATGATAAGCTGGCATAGTTTTGCTCTGGATGGGAAAACAAATCATGATCTTTCATCAATAAATTTGAGGAGATTTTGAAAAATTTTCATGTTTCTTTTCAATGTGATAATAAATCTTTATTTCTCAATCGGTATAATTGAATTTGTCTTTCGGAAAAATTTCCAAAAATTTTCCGCCACAATTTCAAATTTGAATAAAAATTTATTAAGAAGCCGGAAACAAAAATAAATCAATTCTATAAAATTTTAGATGCAATTTAAAGATCAAGAAGACGATAATCCTAATAACATACCATTAGAAGACATTACAGGCTCAGAAAAAGATGTTACGCTTAAAATTTTTAGCGAAAATGACTTAAAAGAAGCAAATGAAGATATATCTAGTAAAATACATGCATTTGGGAATACCTTATTGGAACAAAAAGATCCAACATTTCAAATATGTCAAATTATTGATATGGTTTCTACTAATTCTTCATTATTTCTTTCAAATAATTATTTAATTGGTTGTTTGTTTTCAAATTTAGGGGAGATTGATTTCAGGAATGTGATTGAAGTTATTCTTGTTAATGAATTTTCAGAATTATCTTTACATTTACTAAAATTAATTCAAATATTATCGGAAATATCTGTAGATATCTACAAATACATATCTAGTGTTGATATATTTACACGAATTTGTGAATGCATTTTAGCTTGTGATGACTCAATCTCTTTTAATGAAGAAACTAACAAAATGATTTTAAATTTACTTAAAAGATACTATAGTAAAGAATATTCAGACGATATCGGCATCATTTTCGAGAATTTATCATCTATTACATCATTTTTTAATGAATTTCCTTTAATGCAGCTTAACTTTTTAAGATTTGTCGTTAATATACCGGAAACAAATTATCCAGCTGATGTACCTCGTGCTCGTGCTGGAACAATACTTCGATGTGTTACTGAAACAAATTTAATTTTTGATGAACTTTTGGAAGACGAAATGATTAATGATAAGACCATTTCATCACTTTGTAAAACATATATATTGTGTTTGCAGCAAAATCCGAAGACAGTTATCTCTGCAAGTCAAAAAATACAAGATTGTCTCCAATATTTCCTTGTCACAGATATTTTTGAGACCAAAATCAATCTCGTGTTATTAATTACCGAATACAACATGGCAATTTCTAAAATTGACGAAAATCCAAAAATTAATATTTCCGGATTCATGAAAAACCACATTTCACTTTTTATTATTAAGTTACTATCAGACACTGACAAATATCTCAATGTTGTAGCTCTTAATTTTATTTATTCGGTCGCATCAACAAATTCATCTTCAGTTTACTCCGGATTGAGTGCGGACACATTGTATAACCATTTATTAGGTTATATGTCTGAAAACACTTTGGAACAGAAGGTTATTTCTTTCAAAATCATTGCAACTTTAGTACAAAATGGAGATTACACTTTGTGTAAAATTGATGAAGTTTTTCTGAAGTTTCTTGAGTATCTCTGCGAAACAACTTCGCTTATGGATATTGATATCATCAAGAGTTTTTCAATAATCATATCGGGAGTGATGAAATTCTATCACAGTCTCTCTGAAAAAGATTGGAAATTATTTAAATCCCACGCTGAAGCTTGCGGAATCAAAGAAACTTTGGAAGATTTGTTATCAGAAGAAATAATAGACTCACAGATTTATGAGGTTTTAGATGCTTGTTATAATATGTTAATAGCTTAATAAAAATTTATTTTTTCCTCTTTCTTATTTGCGATTGCACTTCCCCCCTTCATTGTCATCAGGCTTATTGCCGTCAAATTTTGAATTTTTGCGTTCATTAATGTAGGTTAAAACAATCGCTCCTAAAACTACCACTTGTAGCACAATTTTGTTTCGTTACAGGCGGGAGCGCCTGTGAATTTTGTCGATTTCTATAAAAATAAACTTTACATTTGTAAACATTTTACAACACACAAAGTCCTCAAATTTGAGTGTGTTAATGTCAAAATTTTGTGTAACGAATTATTTAACCTACCTTATAATGCATAATATGCTTATTACTCGTCATACTCTATCTTTTCAAAGAAGACTCAAAAAAAAACTCTGATTTAGTAATTTTAAATATTTATCCTTCACGATAGACTACACCTAATTGAAATGTTTCTATTGATTGAGCAGTGCTGCCAATGATTCGCAAATAATTGTCATCACCAATAAGGGCGGTTCTTCCATCTGCAAGTTTAACTTTGCCGGATGCTTTAGTAAAATCAACAGTAGTAGTGCCATCAGAAATTAATGCAACGTTTGTACCTGTTACTTGTGAAAAGAAACCAGGCCTCCAACATACTTCTTCATTTTGGTTAAGATATAAAACGCACTTATCTTCAAGTTCCCATTTACGTCTACTATAAACTTTCTCAGAGCATTTCCAATCTGCGTAAAATAAACTCAATAATATGAAGAGCATTCTTACAAATGGCAAATGACATCCTGCCATCAATTCAAATTTTATATGTAACGTCGGAAAAATAACTCCGTAGCATAAATTTAACTTGTAGCACCCGTATTTTTCAATAAAACCGGGTTATTTTTGATAGCCATACTACTCTACATCTGTTTATATGCATACAGCCGTGATGATACATGAAAATTCCAAACCTAAATTCTTAATTTCAAGATAATCATCAAAACTCAAGTTTGTATAATAAGCGTAGATATTGCATGCTTATCCAATATCCTCTTAATACACATAAAACATTTTGGTTAACTCGGCAAATTGAAGTTAATATTATCGACGTTATATGGGATTTTCAATGAGCCGCCTCAAATTACATTCAATTTAAAAGAGGCTAAAAATTGAAAATTCTTCAAGTATTTCATCATATGTCGGAAATTCAATGAAATTCAATTTCCGACATATGATGGGAAAATAGTTTCACAATATACCATAGATGTAAAATGTGTTGTTTATTTCCTCGTGACATCGTAAACTTCTCAAAAATAAATGTAAACTTCTGAATTTTCTGAACTTTACGTTATGACGCCAACCCTAAATAAATAACCATAAATATTTGGTACTCCCATTTTTAGAAGGATTATTATGTTCCTCTGACGAAAATGATAAATTTTCCAACTTTAAGTTTGAAATTGAGACGAAGTCTCAATTTCATACATAAAGTTGATATTCTTTCTTTGTTTTTTTATGGATGCGCGAATCTTACATCTGTTAAATTTCATTCGAAAATCAGAGAAATTCAAGAGAGAGTCTTCTTCAATTGCAATAGCTTAGATACACTAATCATTCCTGATGGCGTAGAATCTTTAGATATAAAAGAATATTGCTGTTTTGGATGCATCTTTCCATTGCTTAAATTCAGAAGTAAAATAAATAGTATTTCAACACAAGCATTCGCAAATTGTAAGAATCCGAAAGAAATAATATTAGAATCAATTCCGGCAAATATTGCATCTGGAATTTTCTATAACTGCACAAATATTATTAAGATCACTCTCAACAATGATAAAATCGACATTAATCTTGTTAATAAAATGATCGATGATGTTAGATCGAATATCAATGAAGTTATTGTAAATATTAGCTCAATTCCGCCGTGTTTATTTGCAAATTTTGTCAAACTAGAAAAGGCTCTACTTAAGTCCAATAAAATTAGTGATTCAATGTTTGAGAACTGCTCCAGCTTGAGAAATGTGAGTTTATTATTGCCAACCCTTCCAGAAAAGTTTGATGTTGGAAAAAGAGGATTTTATAATTGTTTAAATCTTGATGTTACTATCCTTAAACGCGTTCGATCAATAGATGATTATGGATTTTATGGATGTCCATTCCCGAGGTCAATAGTAATTCCAAAAGATATTTTAAGTATTTCACAATATGCTTTCTCAAATACAAGAATTGAATATGTAAACTTTTGTTCAAATCAATTCATTTGTTACAGTAATTCTTTCGATAACAAAGTAAAGGCATATGTTACAGATTCTTTTGCTAACAGCCCATTATGCTCATTGCCAACAACAAGAATTGATAGATCAGTATGCCATATTCCCCATCCAACAAGTCAGGATGTAATGTATATTGTAAAAATGCGCACACGAAAAAGATAATAATTTATGTTTCATATATTTGTTTGTATTTTGTAAAATGATTGTAAACCATTTTTGTTCATGAGATTTCATTTTCTTTAGTATTTAAGAAATTAACTTTCATCATAGAATTTTTTAGAATCGATTGGATTTTTTATCCAATGTGAAATTAAAATATATCACCATTGCACGCTTTAGTTAATAAGACCTTTGCCACTAATGTTTGAGAAGTTCTTTACAATCAGCTTTCAAACATTATTCTGACCCGTCAATCATGTTTCATTTGTCTTGGAAAAATAAAAGGAGAAATCATTTTTAGTAAGAATCATCACCATTGCTTTTCCAGGATCATTCTAGATTGCAAAAAAGTAAAAAAAGACGACCATTATCATTAAATAAGAACATCACCGTTGCATATATCTTTAGGTAATTAAAGTACATAAATGAAAATAGTTCTTGAAAAGATTATCTAAACAAAATAAATCCTTTATTCTAAAATAAATGATCAACATGTTATTACATTTTTTTCAAATAAAATAAAAATATCATAATAAAAAAATAAACAAACAAAATAAAATATAAACATCTATATACAAATATAACAAAACATATCTTACTTATTATTAAACAAACTTGTTTGTGGGCGCGGTTTCAAAGGTGGTAATTTCAATTTCTTATTTGTGCTGATTGTAGGAATTGTTATCTTTGGCGAAGGTCTCTTCAAGTTCTGTTGAGCAGATAATGCAACGAAATTAGCTCTTTCCTTTCTAGCATCAGTTGCTTTTTTCTGTTCAATTACACTCTTTTCATGTTGAGCGTAAGCCAATCTATTTTTAACAGGAATCAAAGACTTTTCAAGTTCTCCTTTTATACCAATCTTCTTCTTTTCATGTGTCAATTCCATTGTCTTCATGTCATTCTCATATTTCTTTTCTACTCTTGCAACAGCTATTTTGTAATCTTCATTCATCTTGTATCCGGCTTGTTGACTTTCCTCTTCCTCTTTCTGTTGTATTTGAGCGCTTAGAAGTGCTGCTTCTTCAAATCTCCTTGCGTTCATCAATCTCAATGCTGTTTGGCGCATTTCTATTAATTGTGGTGATGGTTTATTGTATTTCTGTATCATTTTATCTGATTTCCATTCGTTTTCTAATTCATCCAAAGCTTCTTGTTTCTTTAGTTCCAAATCACTCATGTCTACTTGATGTTGTGCATCTAAAACAGTTGCTTTCTGCTCGAATTGTGTCTCTTTAGTTTGGATTTCGCTTTGATAGAATTCTATTTTCTGTTCAACTTCTTTTTCATTTTCTTCTTTTTCGACATTCTTTATTTCTTCCTTTTCTTGATGTATCTGTTTGAGAATGTTGTCTAGATACATTGCATCCTCGATATATCCGTTCTTTATGCATTTGTCGACGTATTTCTTGATATCACTGACTGTTTCATCGACAACTTTCTTCTTGTAGCCAATAATTGATGCTCCACACATTGCGATGTAAGTGACAGAGTCTTTCGGATGAGTGACCATTTTCTGGAGATTTGGTGGCATCCTGTTTTCTCCTTCTTCAACCTGCTTCTGTTGTTCTTCATCTAAGTTTCCTGCAGTTGCTGGTTTGCTCTTTTTAGAACTAACACTTGTCTGCGTACTACTTGAACTGATTCCTTTCTTCTTTTGTTGTGGTTTCTCATCTGGTTGTGTAATAAATGACTTTTGTGGCTTGTTTTCTGCCTTTTGTACTTTAGTGTCACTTTTTGTTTCCTTCTTGTCACTTTTTGGTTCTTTATTGACACTTTTTGGTTCTTTTTTGTCACTTTTTTGTTCTTTATTGACACTTTTTGTTTCTTTTTTTTTGATTTGTTTTCTTCTTTCTTTTGCATTGATGGTGGCAAGATGTCGAAGATTTGGGATTGTTTTCTGCGCTCTCCAGCAGAGTTGATTCTGAGTGGCTGTGAATCATCTTTCTCTTCAAAGTCATCATCGAATTTGTCCTCTTGATTTTCATTTTCTTGTTCGATAGCTTTGGCCATTTGATCGAAAGCATCTGAAGGAAGGGAGTCTACAGTAGCGTGTTCACTTGTACTCTCAGAAAGAGGCATTTCTAAGTGCAAGTCTTTGCCTTCTGGTTGAGTTCTACACTTTGCAAGTGAATCTTTTTCTTCAACCTCAATAACTTTGACGTAAGAACTGGTCTTTGTTGCATCTTCATCAATGGCAAGACCGGTGGCTGGGTCGTAGCCGAGTTCTTTCCATCTGTCGGTGTTAATTTTATGTAATGAACGCAAAATCTCGCCTTGGACTGGGTCTTTCGCTGAGATTTCGTTTAATATGATCTGTTCCTGCTGTTCCGCTGTTGGTTTCTCTGCAACGATAACAGTATCGCTTTTTGATGGCAGTTCATGAGTCGAACCTTTAGGAATTAGGGCTCCATGGAGGTTGGAGAACGATGGCTGTCTAACGGAAAGCGTTATTTGGCCGGCTGGTTCAAGTTCTTCCGGCTCATCAGCGAATGTGTCCTCTTGTGGCTTTGGTTTGTTCTTTTCTTCAGGAGCTTCGTCGATAACTAAGTCCTGGTTGATCGCCTCTGTAGAGCCTTTTGGAATAAGTGGTCCGTGAAGTCTGGAAAATGACATTTGTCTGACACCAAGGGTGATTGGCTGACCATCATCTTCTCCTTCGATAATCTTATCATGTGGCTTCTGTTCTGATTGTTTTTGAGGGGATGCCTTCTTTGGAGATTTTTGTTTTTCGGTTTTAGGCTCTGGTTTCTTGGAACTGCCTTGTTCATCGAGTGATGGCAATATCTGTGATGATTTAGCGCCCTTTGGAATGAGCTGGCCATGAAGATTTGAAAATGATGGTTGTCTGACTGACAAACCAATGGGAGCGTCATCATTTTCGGCATTTTCTTCACCAGCAATGATCACCGGATTATCCTCATTTTGAAGTTTCTCAAGAAGAATTTCCGCATTTGAAGAAACTTTTTTATTGCTGCCGTTCTTTGATAATTTGGTTCCTTGGCCACCTGTAGAACTTGTTTCTTGCAAAGATTCTAAGTTCGTTGCAGGAGCTCCTTTTGGAATTAAGTGGCCTTTCAAATTTGAAAAAGACGGCTGACGAACTGAGAGTGTAATTGGCTGGCCATTATCATCGTCTTCTTTATCGTCTTCTTTTCCAAGTACTACAACAGGATTTTGTGGATTTTGCTGGATTTTATCGATAATGTCGTTTCCTTTAAGGACAACTTCTTCATTTTGTTCCGTATCTCTTGAAGAAAGCATTGTAAAGAGCTCATCAACAGCCTTTGATGAAGATTTCCTCAAAAGTTGAAGCATTGGGTTGTCTTCTGATTTGGCTTTGCCACCTTGGCGAAGAAGACATGAAACTGGATCTTCCAAGCCCTCAATTGTTGATGGAATGATGGAATCTGGGAAAACATATGGTTTAATTTCTTCCTGTTTAGGTTCAGGAGGTGGAGCTGGCTTGGCTTTCATTCCTTTGCCTTGTAGCAATACAGCACTAACAGGTTCTTTTGGATTATCTTCTGGTTTTGGTATTTTTGCATTTTTGAACTTTTCGGCCTCTTTTTGGACAGGTGCAGCAACTTTATTTGCTGTTTGTGATAGAACGGCACTAACATCATCGTTCTTTGTCTCATTTGTGTTTGGTATGACGGAATTAACGAATTTGGCTGGCTGATTTGGTTGTTCTTTCTTATTTGCTGTTTGGTTAAGAAGTAAGTTAACTGGGTCGTCTTTGTTGGCTGTTGATTTTGGAATAATTGAATTTTTAAATTTGAAGTTCTCCTGCTTTTTTGAAGACTGATTTAACAGTTCATTAACAGGGTCTGTTGGATTATCTGTGGATTTTGGAATTAAAGCATTAGAAAATTTAATTTTTTCTTCTTGTTGATTCTCGGGCTCCTTTTTAGGTGCAGCGCCTAATCCAGATAAAATTGCTTGATGCAAAACGTTATTATCAGGATTTTGCGTATTATCGTTTTGTTTTTTGTCAGATGTTTGATTTAAAAGATCCAAAACTGGATCAGGTAATGTACTTTGGGCCTTACCTTGGCTAAGTAGTTTTGAAATTGGATCATCGCCCTGTTCATTAATATTCGGAATTTGAGCATTTGTAAATTTATAATTTGGCTTTGTTTCATTTATTGGTTCCTTCGGTGGAAGTGGGCCAGATCTCGGTTGACCCGCTGTCTGTGCAAGCAGAAGCGAAACGGGATCTGAACCACTCATGATACAAAATACGTTTTTTGTAACCTTCTCAAATTAGTAAAATTCATAATTCAAAATAAGGGTGAACTACCCCTGACAAATTGAAAGATCCCTCAATTTATAAAAACGTGTTGTTTCCATTCATGGGTTAGTCTATAACACCTTAGATACCAATTCTGAGGATCGAAGATCCGCAAAGTTGGTACTTTCCATTTTTTATTTAAAAGTAGGTTATTATATGGGAAAAATTAGAGATTTCGTTCTCAAAATTTAAAATCGGGTTATTTCGGATTCTTTCACTTTGGGAGTGCGCAAAGCGTCCTCCAAAGCGATACAAATCCGATTAATTTGAAAGATTCCTAATCACAAAGAAAAATTAGGTTTTATCAAGAAAAATAGATGATTCATGAAGTAATAAAACATATAGTTAAGCTTGTCCAGGATCTCCAAAATAAAAAGAATCACCGCCACGAATCTCCGAATTTGGCGATTTTTAGGAATTTTTATCAACTCCGCCGGATTTTTGATTTTTACCTCCTTTCTAAGTATTTTTTAATTATTTAAAATTATTGCCGTTTTCCCATTAATTTTGAATATATTTGTGATATTTACACGGATACATTATAAAATATCATCTGATATTAGTAGTATGTATGGGAAATATGAATTTGAACAAATCTAATAGTAAATACAGGACTTACACTATTCATAATATTATAATATATATTTAATTCATGAATATGAAAGAGTTTTTTTATGATTTTCAAATTGACTATCATAGACTCATTTTCCTATATATGTTGCATGATTAAAGATATAGTATATTATATGTATATTGTATTAATAATACTTTGAAGCAAAAATAAATCTCCGGAGATTTCTCCGGAGATTTTTTTCAATACTTTTGGGAGATTTTCCGGGAATTTACTTTTGCCTCTAAGTATGATAAATGAAATATTTATGTATTAAAATATATCTTTTATTATATGTCAGCTCGGGGAAATGAATATTTTTTATCGAAATAATTTTGCCTATTTATATAGCAATATAAACAATAGAATTATTCGTTATTGCATGTAAATTTGTTAATTATGTCAAATATAACATAAGGTATTATTATTTTAGTAAATTTGCATGTTATTTATTGCAGAAATAAAGAAATGATGATAATTCTTTTGTTTCATAATATACAAAAGCTATATATTTGGTAGATACTATGCATTTCACATCAATAAAATAACAAATTTTTAAAATATACTCATATACTCGCACAAATTGTAATCTGTGAAATACAATTATAGTGCTTTAAAGATATAAACAGATAAATGTGCAAAAAAATAAGAAATAAAATAATAATAATAATAAAAAATAAGAAAGAAAAAAAGGGCCCTTTTAGAATTGATTGCCTCTAACTATAAATTGATGTGCAATTTGGCCGAGGGCGATTTATCGCCCGAGGCCCGAAATTTTTTGAAAGAATCTCCGGTTCTGGCGAAAAATCACCGGCCCGACAAGCTTAATATAGTATTATAAAAATGAAAAACTATTTTCCCATAAATTAGATTGTGTATAAAATGAGTGTAGTAGGGATTGCTTTTTTTCACACATCAATGAAATTGGAAAAATGACAGAATAAACAATTTACCACCTTCTTTTTTACGCTTTTTCAATAAAATTTTCCATTTTTATTTTGAATACATCACAAAATTTGAGATGCATATTGAAAAAAAATTCCACTAAAAATTTTTTAAAAAATTAATGCCTGAACGAATTACTAATGTGGCTAAATACAGTGAACTGAGAGGTCTCTACAAGTACCACATTGATATATTTATTGCGCTGTATCACATAAACACCGAAAATGAAGACGATTTAAACTCGATTTACAAAAAGATAAAAGCAGAATTGATTGATTCAAGGAAATATCTCCCACGCAAGATTATAAAAGATATTTTAGCAATTATTCCGTATAATAACCGCTATACAAAGTCATATTTAACACTCGCAAAACTCATTCTTGATGATTATCATGTTTCAGTAGTTCCAAATATTAATCCAATTTCAAATTTCCTGTTTTATAAAGAATATGGAATTAAATTAGATATGGCTTATTTCTATATAAATATATATGAAAATCTCGATTATAATTCAGAAGATACAATTCGTTCAGCAATTATGAATAATGACTTAGAAAGATTCATCGCATTCACTGAAAGAGATGATTTTGATAAGAATCAAAAACTAGAGAGTAAATTATATCCATATTCTAAAGAAGGATATTCATTACTTGAATTATGTTGTTATCACGGAGCAGTTGATTGTTTCAAGTTTTTAAGAACCCAATTTAAATCCGAAATAACTCAAACATGTCTGTATTTTTCTTTTTTAGGAGGAAATCAAGATATCATGAGTGAATTTTTGAAATATCAAAAACCAAATGAAAAATGCATGAAATATGCAATTATTTCACACAACATTGATTTTGTTACATTCTTGATGAATGAAAATAATTTAAAGATCGATTTAGAATGTTGTGGCGAATACAATAATCTTGAAGCGCTTTTAGTTTATTTCGATCAAACTCATGATATTCACAAATGCCTTATTTATTCATCGATGCTTGACATTCCATCTCTTTGCATAAATTTCCTTTCACTTGGTGCAGCTATCAATTCAGCTAACATATATCATATTAGTAATGATGATTATGATGAAACAACTGCTCTTCATTATGCTGCAATTAATAATAATAAAGAATTAATTGAATATCTTATTTCAAAGGGTGCACATATTTGGAGAAACACTCTTCTTCTTGCAGCGATAAATAATAGTTACAATGCCGCAGAAGTTCTTCTTGAACATGGTATTGATGTCAATATAACAAATGAATATGGAAAAACGGCTCTTGATTATGCAATAAAGAATAATTGCAGAGAAACAATAGAGTTACTTCGTTCACGAATTGCAAAAATCCCTAGAAAAGAGGAATATAGTGTATCACAACTTTTAGTTGCTGCAATGAAGAATATATTTCCACGAGGTACTGATATCAATAAAAAAGATAAAAATGGACAAACTGCTCTTCATATTGCAGCATGGAAAAACAATAAAGAAGTAGCTGAAATTCTTATCTCACACGATGCAAATATCAATGAAAAAGATATATATGGAAAAACAGCTCTTTCTGTCGCAGCAATTAATAATAGTGAAGAAACAGCTGAAGTTCTTATCTTACATGGTGCTAATATCAATGAAAAAGCTAAAGATGGAAAAACAATTCTTCACTTTGCAACAATAAATAAGAGTAAAGAAACAATCCAACTTCTTCTTTCGCATCATGTAAATGTCAGTAGTATATGTGGGCGGGTTTTGTGACTTTTTTTGTTACATCTATATATAGACGATGCATTAAAATATAATTTATAAATCATTAAAAAATTAACATTAATTTTAAAATAATTTATTTTTTTATCTTTTATAAAAGAAGCTATATATATAGATGATGTCAGATATTCCGCGATTAATTAAACATCATTTAAATCCTGAATGGGTTAAACTTCAATTTAAAAAGGAAGATTGTGAATTATTAAATGAATATGAAAGCCAAAATAAGCTAATGAGGTATAAATATAATGATAAAGAATATTTAATTTCATGGAATCAATGGAGTCATAATCAAAGACCTCATAAACGAGAAGAAGAAATTGAAAATAATGAAATGGAAATCATTGATGACATTAAAGAGGATGGAATTCCTAAATTTTGTAGAAAAACCTTTAGAACTAAGTTAGGAGCATATAAACGTAGAGTATTAAATCCTGAATACATAAAACATTTATTTAAAAAGGAAGACTGTGAATTATTAAACGCTAATGAATATGAAAATGCTAAATCAAAACTGAGATATAAATATATTGGAAGTGATGAAAGGTGTAAAGATAAAGATAAAGTTTATTCGGTTTCATATAATAACTGGCACACGTTAGGGATAAGAAAACATTTAGGAGATTATGGGAAATGTTCTGAATTCTTTAAATCTAGTATGTACGAGAGAGTAAAAGAAATTAGAAATAATTATTTTCATGAATGAAAAATAAACTTTAAAAATTCATGTCTTACATTTTTTGAATAATTTATTTTTTTAATTCGTAAGAAATGAGTGGATCAAGATTCGTAACCGTCAATCAATTAATGGATGTTCTTTCACCAATTCTTGAAAATGTTAAACAAGTAGATGTTTATTTCGATGATTATGTAGAAAGTATATATTATAAAGGTAAGTTTAATATTAAACCTATTGCTTTTGCATTTGATAATAAATTAATTGAAAATGCAAAAATTTGGGAATTAATTCCAGATATTGAATTTATAACAAATATTAATGATAAATGGTTTAAACGAATTCTAACCACAAAAGTTCTTTGTAAATTAATGATCAAAACTGAGGAAAAAGAATTTAACGGGTTTAAATATCATCCAAATAAAGTTTCAGAACTAGAAAATGAAAAACTTCAGAAAAAATTAAACGATAGACTTTCAAATGATCGTATTGAAAAAATAAATAAACTAGCAGAAGTTGCATTTAATAATGAAATATTTGATGAATATAACCTTGAACTCAGTGATGGACTTTAAGTCCTGGGCACTTTGTGCCTTGGGCTTTAAGGACCCGGGCTCAACGAGTCATGATTTATGAAATCAATTATTTGATTCATTCGCTCTTCAATAATTTCTATTCTTTTTGTTAAATCATCTATTTTCATTAATGAGGTGATTCTTGATTGAGGAATAGATTTCAAACTAACCACTCCTTTTATTTTTGAAATTTTGAATCCATCAACTTTAAACATTTTATTCAATTTACATGTTGTCAATTCTTCAAATAATTTTTTATTATTAGCATAATAGTCATTAAATTCTTCAACAGATGAAAAAATTTTTATTTCAGTAATTGGTTTAACAACATTTATTTTTTGTTGAACATTTTCACTTTCATTTATTTCTTCCTCCTTTGTTTCATTTATTTTTAAAATCGGTTTCATTTATCATTAAATAAAAATTAGAATATAAGTGATGAAATATATTTTTTAATTAATATTAAATCAGAAATGGCGGCAGGATTCTTTAAAAAATTATGGGATGGAATTAAGAAAGCTGCAGGTTGGGTTCATCAAAAGATTATTAAACCTGTTGCAAACTTTTTGGCACCAGTAGCGAAAACGGCAGGAACTATCATAGGTGGAGTATTAGGTACTAAAGCAGGTAATCCGGCGATGGGAGCACAAGCAGGTAACGCAATTGGTGGAATAGCTGAAGGAATACTTAATAAAATAGGAGGTGGTTAGTGGAAAAATAAATAAATATTATTTTTATCTTAGTATCGGTTGAAGTCTTTGATAAACTTTTTCTCCTTTATTTAAAATTTCTCTTATTGGGGCAGCTTTTGGCGTTATTGATTCAGCAACGTCACTAATTGCTTCTTTATTCTTAAATATCCAATTTGCTCCTTTCTTCATTGTTTCCCAAACTTTATGCGCTCCTCTTTTTACTTTATCCCACAGTTTCTTAAAGAATCCTGCAGCCATAGTTGATTATTTCATTAAAATTAAAAATTCATTTTCATCTTTTAATTTTGATTTTTTATTTATTAATAAATGACGACTAACTATTTAGTGCCAAACACTAAACCGATTAATGGAAATGTGTTTCATTCATTCGAAAAGATAAATGAAATATTCGCAAAGAATGATGGAAGAAGATATTATAGAGAACTTGAAAGTTCATGCTATGACTCTGATGCTCCATATTTTGATGATAAACAAACTCATTTAAGAATTACAAATCCGGCTCATGATGTGAACCAATTAGGTGACACATATATTAAACGCAAAGTTAAAGCAACTCTAGTTTCAAATAAAGCTTTCACATGTGATGCCGCTTTTAAATGCATGCGTTTATTCGTTGGTTACAAATCATCAAATCAAAGCTTTAAACAATTAGAAGTAGAAACCGAAAGAGGTGATGCCGGTTATCTTCAGATGGATTGTGCCCGTGAATCTTTCGCATTTGCAACATATAAACCAAAATCAGAAAGGAAAGTTAAAAAGTTTGTTCATTCGTTATATAATAATGTTCAAAAATATGATAACTCAGTATGTGGTAAATATATTGACCCTTCAGAAGTTTTCACTAAAGCAAATGAAGAAGTTGATATCACTTTTGATATGATTATTCCGGTAAATGATTTGTTAGCATTTCAGGCGTTCGATGATTATCCTAAATCATTTGGTGAAATCATTCTTAAATATTATGTTTTCAGGGATACTTTAGTATTTTGTCAGGTTGACCCGTTAAGAGTTGCTGATTTACAAAATTACGTTTATGAAAAGATAACTGATGAAAATTATGAAAAGATTATGAATCATGTTTATAAATATGATCGCAATTCAACAAATCGGACTTCCTGCCAAATTAATTACAAGCTTAGCCGCTACATCTGCTGACGCAACAGTTGATAACGTTATTATTTCATGCACAAAGATGGAAGTTTTAGAGGATAAATGTATTACACCAGGATATGGTTTAATTGAAGAATCAGTTAAAGCAATACCACGTTTATTCAGTAAGGAAGATCCATTCATGATTCCAGCTCAACATATTGACGTTCGTTCACTAAATGGAGGATGCATCACTCCTGAAGGTATCAGCTCAGATTTCTCATACGCTCTTCATAATGTTACAGATGTTGTGTTAACATTTCCGAAGAATGCAATGCAAAGAACAGTTTTAGAAAATCCAATGCTTCGAGGTCTTCAGGTCACTATAGATTCCAGAAACTTCCCGATCAAGCGATGACCACAGTGGGTGACATATTCTTTACACGTATGCTTCAAGCTTCTGATTTAGATGGAGTGAATGAATGCACAGAAGAATACGAGGACTCATTAACTAGACCACTGAATGATGATGATGGCACGCCATTAGCTAGAACATGGAAAGACCAAACTTCATTCTTATGCACTATTCCAGTTCAACGTGATGGAGCGGGTATATTCTTTGATGGATTAGAAACTTTCAACTCACAAGTTACAGTACAAGTGAAAGCTTATCCAATCATCCAGGGTGTAAATGACACTTACTGTTCAAAGGTGACAAATCCTCCTCAGGTTTGGTTTACTAGGACTACATATTGGACATGGACACCGGACGAAGGTTTGAATATCATCCAACAGGTACACCACCACAGTATAGAAGTTCATATGATGAAATATTGATGAATAGAAATGTATAAAATTATAAATTTATTTTTGATTAAATGGATTTAAATTCATTCACCCCTTATGAAGAATTAGCGGGAGTATATAATACATACGTAGATGATATGATTAATGAAGCATTGAGTGATAATAGAAATGCTCTATCTAAGGAAAAATTAATGAAAATTCCATATTCTGAATGTTACTTAAATTCAATCACTGCAGCAATTGGTAAACAAAATAAAGGTAAAACATTAACGATATTAAAACAAATTATCATTATTGCTAACACTTCCCCCCATTCACATGTGTTAATTTATATCAACCGTTCAGGTTCACCTTCAGATGATACATTTGAATCTTTAAAGCATTTAATCAAAATTCCAATTATTTATTTATCACAAGAAGAAGCAGAAGATTATTTAAAAAACTTTTTAATGTATAAAGAATTATATAATCCAATCAAGAAGCAAGGATTAGAGGATAAAATTATTAATAAACAACGGGATGAATTATTTGAAACACTTTCTATTTCAAATTTTGATAGAGAATTTTTGCATTCACTCATTTTTCTAGATGATGCAGTGAAATCAAAACTAATAACAAATGAGAAATCATATTTTAATCAGTTATTAACTCAATGTCGACACATTCAGTGTTCATTCTTCATGGCTGTTCAATACTTCAAAGCATTAAGCACAAACATTAAATCAAACCTGTCCACCCTTTTCATTTTCAGTGGGTTTAGTCGTCAACAGTTGAACGTTATGCTTTATCAAGTGAATTTACCAATGAGCATTAATGAACTTTACACACAATATCAGCAATTAGGTGAACATGGAAAAATAATAGTTGATTTAAATAAAGGAGGTGTTAAATTTGATTAACTTTTTATAATTAATTTTTATTTTTTATTTATAATTAAACATGACAGAAATAGCAAATCTTCTACAGGTTCCATTAAAACAAGGAACAAACAAAAAGGGTGCATATAATAGAACTATGAAAGTTCCAGACGGAATGAAAGAATTAGTTCATATTGTTGCTGGTCTTCAAAAAGATGTTAAACAAATGTGAAACGTTTTAACATTACCAGAAGCTCAAGCATATGCCAAACGT